GACCCTTTTATGGTTTGTGAACTGCTATGAGAATACTAGAACCCTTAAGGTGTAAATAAAGCAGTCCATCATTTTAACAGAACAAAAATACCATTCTATTCTAATATCATTCTAAGACCCACTGATCATCCATTGCCTGGAGGGAAGTGACTGGTATGAGTATTCTTTGTACTTTTTTAGCAAATGATGGACAACCCCTAAAGGCTTTTTAAATAATGAAGGGGAAAAAAGCTTTATTTTCCTTTGTTGGAGCAATAAAATTTGTTACACTTAATGTAAGTTTCTTTTGGGGGTGGAAGAAGGAGGTAAAAATGAGGAAGATAATTTAGGATTCCAAAAATTGTAGCTGCTTGTGGAAGGTTTTTGCTGAAAATAAATCTTCTCTCTTGGGACCTTAGTTTGTTCTGAAGAATAATATTACAAAATCTAATGTTGCACAATAAAAAAGGCAAAGGCAAGGGAAGATTGATGATGATGATTCTTGGCAGTTCATTTAAACTGGTATGTTCACTTGGCCTTGTTTTTAATACTGAGATGCTATGTCCCTGTTTCTGCCTATATGAACTAAATTGAGTTAAACACGTACAATCCTAGCTCTATGCAAAAATCCTCATTCAGGGTCCTGTGATTCTTTGAATGATCAGGCAAGATAGTGAAATGGGAGATTGGGGAGAAAAGAGCAAAACAAAGATACTCAGAGGTCTTTGCAGACACATTCAGGAGAAAGTCTGATTAGAATGAATTGTTAGCCAAATGAGAGGCCCATCTGATCTTAGATACATTTAAAACAAATGACTTCCCAAGTTCCCTTGCTTTTGGGGCCCCATCCACTAGCAGAAATATAGCAATGCCTGATCTGCCACGTTAACAGTAGGACTAGAGAGGGAGGAACTTGATCTCAAGGCTCCTTTGGCATCAGAATCAGTGGGAGAGGAAATTAATAAATGGTCTGTTCCTCTCTGTGCATAGACTTGGGGGCCCCACAAAACATAAGCATGATTCAGGCTTAGATGTGTGATAGTAGCTGTATTTATAGCTATACATGTGTTAGTGGTAGGTTTTGTTTGGGGAATTTTATTTTTTATGCATGATAAGTTTTGGATTTTTCTTTCCTTCATCATTCATCTCACTTTTTTCAGTCTTGGACTATTATTGTCTGAGTGCTGGCAAGTTAAGGGTCAGGGAACAAAGTTAAAACTTCTCTGTGTGTGTGTGTGTGTGTGTGTGTGTGTGTGTGTGTGTGTGTGTATTTGTTAATATTCATTTGTGATATGAGTGAAAATTACTTGCTTTCCCTTCGCTTATATGTCAAATGAAGTGAGAGGGAATCTCTTAGAATTGTCTACTTTAAATTTTATATTAGAAGTAGTAACAAATAAATAACATGGCTAAACAGAAATGGGTAAAACACCTTTTAGAACTTCATTATCATCATCATCATCACTAGCATTTATATAGCACTTTAAGGTTTACTTTACACATGTTAACTCAATTTGTTCCTAACTACAACTACTTCCTTTGAAGGAGGTGTTATTATTATTCCTGCTTTACAGACTAGGCTGATGGGTTCAAGTGACTTGCCCAGAGCTAGCAAGTGTGTGAGGTAGAATTCAAATGCATGTCTTACTGACTCTAAGTCCAGTCTAAGTTAGCCACCTAGCTAACTGCATCTCACAATTTAAAAGTATTGTTACCAAAGAGACCTATATTCTCTGTTTTGCTACTCATTTACATGAAATAGAAATCCCTCTTTACCTTTCTTTTTAAAATGTCGGTTTCAAGGAAATTTTCTGATTACATTAAGCTGTGAGGAGCAGAAAAGGTAAAGAAGAAGTTTCCCATTTGTTGGTATATCAGTCTGCTCAATATGTCAAATTCATGACAAGTCAAAAAAGTACTCTTTATCTGTTTGGGGTTTTTGTGGCTATGGAATTCTTCCAGAAGGCTCTGGATTATTCCAGAGTTTGAAGAAATCAGCACAATGTCATTGACAAATAGAAGCATCTGGATGACTGGCTTTTTAGGGAATCTCTCCTTGACTTGAACTCTATACTGTATATACTTTATCAAAGTGGTAATTATCTGATCTTATGAGATTTTTAATGTAATTTCTATTTCCTCTATGAGCATATTTGGGATACAGATGTCCTTGATGTTGAAAAGAGTTTGCTATAAAAGTCATTGCTGATCTTTCCTATTTTCTGTCTTTTTATTACCCTCCTTCCAGTTTTATCCTTAAATACCTTCAGAATGATTTTGCTTAGTGTGATCTCTTGTAAGATTTCTTTTTTTTTAATTTATTGTTATTAATGTAAGACTTCTATAAACTAGATTTTGCCTCTAGTACTGCTTGCTGGGCAGCTAGGTGGTACAGTGGACAGAGTACCAGGCCTGGAGTCAGGAAGACTCATTTCCCTAAGTTCAAATCTGGTCTCAGACACTTACTACCTATGTGACCCTGGACAAGTCACTTAACCCTGTTTGCCTCAATTTCGTCATCTGTAAAATGAGCTGGAAAAAGAATGAAAAACCACTCCAATATCTTTGCAAATAAAACCCCGGATTGTGTCATGGAGAGGTAGACACAACTGAAACAAATAAACAACAACTGCTAAATAACTTTCCACCATCTTTTATAAGGTCTTCCAAGTAAGCTTATGTACTAAATTGGTGTCATCCTTGGCCTCCACATCTCCCTGCTTTTCATGTAAATTAAGTGATGACTAAAAAAATTCTTATTTATGGATGATGCATGTGCCATTAGAATTAAGACATGATAGTCCTATCTCATTGGATATGAACAATACCCATATGTAAATACAATAAGTTATATTAAAAAGAAAGGTTAATGATGTTAAGGCTAAAGCCATTGTGGAATAAATTCCATGACCACCTAGTGACTAGAATGCAATCTCGACCTGCAATATTGCCTGTTTTGAATCAATCTTTCTGAAGTGACCTCAGATATAGAGATCTCATGAAACAAAGATTATGTGATGGTATTAAATCTAGGCTTAACCTCAGGAATATTTGTTTTTCAAACCAATTCAATAAAAAGCTAATAGAATCACCTCAGAATATAAATTGTCAGTTACTCCTGAGATCCACGTTGTTGTTGTTCAGTCATTTCAGTCGTGTCCAACTCTTTGACCCTATTTTGGGATTTTCTTGGCAAAGATACTGAAGTAGTTTGCCACTTCCTTCTCTAGCTCGTTTTACAAATGAGGAACTGAAGCAAACAGAGTTAAGTGACTTGCCTAGGGTCACACAGCTAGTAAGTGTCTGAGGCTGGATTTCAACTCAGGAATATGAGTCTTCCTAATTCCAAGCCCAGTGCTCTATCCACAGGGCCACTCAGCTGTCCCCTTGAGGTCCATAGAAGATATTTAATGTACCATTCTGTTTATTCATAAATATTTACTTTGTAAGTATGGTTGTGTGTGTACACACATACATGCATACACATAAACATATGTCTTAAATACCAATAATCATTTAATTCTTTTTCAGGTAAATCTTGATCCCCTAATTAACTTATATAAGTATGGTCCTTGTTACAAAACTAGGTATTAAGATAGAAATTGAGGTAACAATGATCAACTGTGAAAGACAAGAGCAGAAGACCCTACACAGGGCTAGGAATTTGAAACAGCTAGTGCAAAGGCAGAAAGATGGCAGTGAAATAGATCATATTTAAATATCTGACCTCCTTCTTACATAGAGAATATTAGCAGATCCCAGCTTTTGTAAATATATAATTTTAATGACGCTACTTTCAGTTAGACCACAAAATACCTCCACTACTTTTTCTTTTAGGCATTTTATTTATTCAATACGGTATTCCTTTTTTGATAAGATACCAACAGGTCCCTTGTGTCTGTCCTAGGTGGTAAGCTCCTAAAGGGTAGGACCAATTTCTACTTAGATTAAATAGAAGAGTACAGCATCAAATATAGTTAGGATTTTGAAGTATTTTGTTGGTGGCAAATGTTCTGCTTTTTGAATGAAGGTATTTGCCAACATCTTATATACAGACATGTTAGTAGGTGATATAAATTAATACTTATCATGCCAGGATTATGTTAGCTGTATAAAAAGTGGCACTGTATCATGAAAGCTATGGTCCAGATTCACTATATCTGTGGCAATATGATAGGTCTATTATGACCCATCATGTGAGAAATTGTATATACATTGCCTATAATGCCATGTTTTGTTTCTCATCTGTGGACTGGTAAACCTAATACTGTATATTGATATAAATATATAAATATAATATGAATGAAAAAGCATTTGTTAACATTATTGCTACATGTGGTAAACATTGTGCTAAGCCCTGGGGATGCAACACCACAAGGGGAGACAGTTTCCATACTCCAGAAGCTCCTACCAGTGGCCAAGAAAGGATATTTTGGTTACAAAAGTTAGGAGGATGATGAGTAGAGCCAGAGGACAGGAGACTGACACTCCCTTTCTAAGAGAAATGTAGTATTTCTTTGATTTTATTTCTAGAATTGGAAAGTGGATAGGCAGTTAAAGGGTTGACTAACCACTGCATATCGTCTGATGGAAAGTTGGCTGAGGTGTAGTACTAGGTTTGGGGTAACTCACCAAAATTATATTGGTTTGGGGAATTGTATGGAGGGAAATTTGTTTTTCCTATTTTTCTCAAGTTGACTTCATATCTTAATGCTAGAGTAGTTTTGTAAGTTTCACATTAACATTTATTTTGAAAATTCCATATAACTAGGCATAGTCATCCAGGAGATGGGAGATGCTTTGCGGCTGTCATCTGTCACCTCTATCCAAGGTTCTGACATCAAAATGTAGCAGAGCTACTGTTAGCATTTGAAGTGTTTTCGTTTTTTTGATGGTAAAAACTATGCATGAATGAAATCAGTATTTGGATGAAGAAAGACTACCTCATATTGAAAAGTAATAGAAGTGTTGCTACTTTTGAGTGTGTAAAATGTGTGTATGTGGTGGTGTTTTTTTGACAGCTTTTTAGAAACTACAGCCTATTTCTTCATGAAACCAAAAATGGGAGAGAAGGAAGTGTCCCCAAATGTTTTCTTCAGTCTCTGGCATGAATTCAGCTCTGACTTTAAAGATTTCTGGAAAAAAGAGAACAAACTTATTCTCCAAGAAAGGTAGGTTGTTTTCTTTTGAACAAAGACATTTTAAAACTGGTGTTTTATTAGGTGTGACCACTAAGTTTGCCAGGTTTATAGGCTTGAAAACTGAATGATTCTTTACAAGGGGGTAGCCTAAGAGGGCTATTGATAGTTGCCTAAAGGTAGATGGTCAGGAAGGCCAGGGGATAGGAAAAGCTAGGATGCTGCTGTAGAGTAGCTGAAATGAAGATTGGCCTAGAAATTAGTCTGGAAAAAAAATGTCCCTACAGTGAGTTAGTTGTGAAAAGGAATCAAATTTAGATGAAAAACACTGATGGAATCTGACAGTGGGAGATAAGTTCAGCTCACTATAAAGCAATGCAGAAAGATTTTAGGGACATTATCTGCCATTTTTTGTTTTGACAGTGCCACCATCAAGGTTTACATTTCAGAATTAGTTTGAAGATCATGAAAATCATCATTGACCAATCATTTTATAATTTTGAGACCCTTTTGTCCTGGACAATATTTCCTAGAATAACTCTTTGGGAGGTGGGGAAGAAGAAAAAGGGGTTCTGTGTGAACATATGAAATAAAATACAGGTTAATGAGTTTATTAAATCACTGAGGAGCCTTCTGTTCACATGCAGCCTTATTCAATATTGAGTCATGAAGAAACCTAGACCTCCCAGTGTTATATCCAGAAATAACTGTGTCTTGTGGGAAAGAGCAAAGGAAACCTAATATGCCCTATACAACAAACCAAAATACCAAACCACTTAGTGTGCTTTCTAACAACTCTCTACCAACAGTGGCTTTGCCTGAGACCTCTAGAAAACTTGTAGCATCCCAATGGACCTTGTTCATCAGTACTACAACATTTCCCAATGCTTTACTTCCTTGAAACAACAATAATCCACTTAGTTTTCATTTGTAAGGAGACTTTAAGACATCACTTTACATCAGTGGGAACAAGTAATAGAGATGCTGTGTAGTTCTGTTATAGAAAGAATCTTGCACTTTGATGTGTGATAATACATTACTTGAAGCAAAGGGAAATGTAAAAAAATAATTGGGATGGGTTGCAGAAGGCATTCAAAGGAAAGAAAAAAATTGTGATAACTTTAAAATGAAAAATAAATCTAAATCTATGCATACAGACCAATAGGTGATAGAGTTTTAATCACAAGTTTATATAGATGAGATAGAAAAGGGCAGTTAAGAGTACTGACTAATAGTAATAATAATAGCTTGAATTGTTCCACATTTCAAGGATGTTCCACATTTCCACAGGCTTAGGAGTCATAAGGCATGGGGGAAAAGAGATTCATAAAAAGGTTATGATAAGATAAAAGAATTTCAGAGTTTGTAAAAGTTGAAGTGGGACCCTTGTGGATGATGACAAAATCAATAGTATGACCATCTTTGTGTATAGCTGAGGTGCATTAAAGAAGTTGATTTTGGGAATTGACTAACTGGAGTAATTGAAAAGTTATAGTATTTGAGAGAGCATCTACATATCTATATCTATATATCCATATCTATCTATGTAGATAAATAGATATGGGTATATATGTATGTATGTAGATAGATAGATCGATGCCAATGGGGAGTGGGTAGTGTATTCCCACTGAGACAAGTGAGTTGGGGGTGTGAAAGTAAACTCACCCAGTAGTGGAATAGGTGGCAACAGAAGCAATGTCATCAGGAGGGATCCAGATCTCAGTGAGTGCCACATCATGGAAAGAACAAGATGAGGATTAAAATTAAGTAACTTAGTTAATTGTGGATTAGGCATTCTGGAAGTCACAGTGGAAGGAATTGAAAATCTGGACGCAGACACTAGAGTGATAGGGTTGAAGTGGATGGAAAGTGAAGTGGACAGTTTGGCATGGAGAATGGGCTTTGCATATCTGTAGCTAGCCAAAATCCCTGGGATGGCATATGTAAAGTATAATGGAGTATGAGTATGTTAACAGTTGAGGAGTGAGTCCAGGTAGGGTATTAGTATCTGGAGAAAGGTCTGTAAGTGAAATCATGTGATTCAGTCATTCCAGTACTTCCCTGGACTAACCTCCTAGCAGGTGGATTTTGCATTTTTTGAGGCCTTAGGATGACTGTCTCACAGCAGGCAGGAGGAGAAGAAAGTATAGGAGCCTAGTTTTATCTTGTTTTCCATAGAAGACATGTCTGGGAAGAGGGACAGAGGTAAAAGGGATATCATCCAGGGTCTAATCTGCATTGGAAAAGACCTAAGAGGCCTGAGAAGCACATCAGTGGGTAATAGTGACAAAGAAGGTCAGAAGGCAGGTGGCCCTGGCCTTGTCCTAGAGTTGACCTGCGAGAGGGCCTTTAAGGGAGGTGGAAAAGTTGGAGGTCTAAAGTTTACATACAGGAAAATTAAATCATGACTATGTTAAGTGACTTTCCCCAAATAGAACTTGTCATTGTCAAGATTACATTTTTTAAAAAGTTTGTTTTTTAGTGTTTCCAGGCTTCACATTCTTTATTTCTCCTATGACCTCCATCCCACAATAACCCCTCCCTGACTTTCTCTTAAAAGCAATAGCCTCATGACCTCCAGAGATCCATATCAAAACACGATATTAGGAAAAGGTCTGAAAATCATTATGTCTAAGGTGAACAAAATTGAAGAAAAAGAGCCTGAAATGCATCTGATCCTACTGGACAGCTAGTGCCTAGAATATGCATGGCACCGGGAATGCAAAGGCAAAAATCAAAAGCATTTCTGCCCTAAAGGACTTTTCATTTTTCTAAGGGGAAAAATATGTAATAGATAAGACAAGATTATTTGAGAAGGGAAAGAGCACTGACAGGTGGTAGAGTCTGTAAAATCCTCACTAGAAGAGGACATGTTACCTTTGCTTTGAAGGAAGCTAGGGATTCTAAGGGGTAGAAGTGAAGAAAGTGCATTCCAAGCTTGAGGGCCAGCCTGGGAACAGTTTGGAAGTTAACTGGGCTATACTCTAGAGGCCAAACAGGAACATTTTCATTTTAAGAGGGATCAAAGTCTGAAGCTAAAGGAATTAGGTTTTCATGGTAGAATTTCAGATATTAGCTAGAGGATGAAGTGTATTTTTTTGTTATTGTTCTTGTTCAGCATTTCTGAAATCTTTGAAATTACCCCATCGAAATAGTCACCTGTGCATTCTCTATGACATTTATGTCTCCTTACACATTTCTGGGAAAAGACTGAGAATCTTAAATGTCCTGGGCAAAGCTCCTTGTTACTAGCTATAACTCATGTATAACGTGTTTCATTAGAAAGAACGCCAAACGTGATTTTATCTATCAATAATAGTTCAATATTTTGTGAAATCTTAGGATATTGATTTGACAAGAGCCAGCTTTCCTCAGGTTGCACGATTACTATTTCTCTTTAAGTGGCTTTTTTGGATGCTTCTGTCTGGGTTTGGCATGCTGGCAAGCTTGCCACAAGCTTTTAATTTCCCATTTTTTGAGTGCCTGAATTACAGATTTCCTGGGAGCTTTTCCGAATAACATTAGTTTGAGCCAGGCAAGAGAAAGTTGGCGGAGTATGGCTCTACTGGTTGACTTTTGACCTCAGATATTTACTAGCAATGCAACCCTGGGCAAGTAACTTAATCTTTGTCTGCATCAGTTTCCTCAGATATAAAATGGGGATAATAATAGCACCTACCTCCCAGGGCTGTTGTGAGGATCAAATGAGATAATATTTGTAAAGCACATAGCACATTGCCTGGTACATGCTTGTTCTCTTCTGATCGAATGTACCCCTTGCAATATATTGCTAATATTGGCTCCATTGTTAGCCAGCTGCTGTGAGAAAGAAAACCATGTGACTGAAGTCATACTTCTTCAAAACTTTTCCCCTTTCTGTAAGCTCCACAAATATTTTCTGCACTTGGCAACCAGAAGGACATTTCTGTAAAGCTCTTAATACCCTGGACCTTTTTAATGACACTGTCAAGCCCCTATCAATGTGCATAGAAATGTATGATGATTATCATAGAAAATTATATTCTGTTCTACAACATGGTCTTCCCTTTCTATTTATTTAATTCATTTTGCAAATCACCAGGGACCAGTTCATGACATTTTTTCCCACTTTTATATTTTTTTGTCATTTAACTTTTCTCTCTCCCTTTCAACTAAATTATAAGCTCCTTAGGGTTAAAGACCATGTCTAAAACTTTTTCATATACTTTGGCATACCTAGTATAGTCCTTTGTCCATGGTAAACACTACCTGTTTATTGACTTAATAAAGTCACAAGGCCATTTTGTCCTTTGTGCATCTCTTTCATACATGTGATAAATGTAGCGCAACTATTATTACAACCAGTTTAGAGATGAGAAAACTAAGGCTATGCATGGTTAAGGGACTGTACATAGTCACATTGTTGTTGTTGTTGATGATGGTGGTGGTGGTGGTGATCCTTCATACTCTAAGAGGATCAATGACATCATGATGTTGGGGCCCAGGTACAGTGGAATTGATGGTGGGTGATCAGTCCAAAGCATGCTTGGAAGGCTCTGCCACGGGACTATTAGAGGGTCCATTTCAATAGTCCTTTTGAACATTTAAAGTAGAGGTGTCTCTGGATTTGTGAATCTCACATTCCCTTCGTGCTACTGAAATTCTGCTTTGCTCATACAGCAGAGCACCTTCTTTGATGTGGGCATGCCATGCTAGGCAGTCCTATACCAGCATCTCTAATGTCTTGCAAGCAATACTGAAATCACATAGTTTGCAGATATCTGAAGTGGGATTGGAAAGCACAAAACTACAAACTCAGAAGTTGTAGTTTACTATTACAGATTTATCTGAAAGTATGAGGTTGTTCACAGAACAGAATAATTTTCGTTTTATTGTTGTTCAGTCATTTCTCAGTCATGTCTGACTCTTCCTGATCTTTTTGGGGGGTTTCCTGGCAAAGATACTGGAGTTGTGTGGTTTTTTTGCCACTTTCTTCTCCAGATCATTTTACATATAAGGAAACTGAGGTAAGCAGGGTTAAGTGATGTGCCCTG